CCCTGCCATCCCCACCATCCCCCGCCATACCCGCCGCCCGCAGCCCACCGCCTGGCCCTGCCATCCCCACCATCCCCCGCCATCCCCCACCCCCGCCATCCCTGCCACCATCCCCCGCCATCCCCACCATCCCCCGCCATCCCCCACCCCCGCCATCCCTGCCACCATCCCCCACCCCCGCCATCCCTGCCGCCATCCCTGCCACCATCCCTGCCACCATCCCCGCCGCCCACCGCCTGGCCCCGCCATCCTTGCTGCCCACTGCCTGGCCCCACTCTCATGCTGCCTTGCAGACAGTCCAGGATGGCCGACAGTTTCTAAAGTACGTGGACCCCAGGCTGGGGGTTCCGCTGCCGGAGAGGGACTATGGGGGAAACTGCCTCATCTACGACGCAGACAATGAGACCGACCCCTTCCACAACATCTGGGTAGGGAGCCCCCCCCTTCCCTCCCCCATTCCCTCCCCCCCCCCAGGCACCCAGCCGCCCGCCCCAGGCCCTGCACGGCAAGGCTCCGCGGGGCCCGCGGGAGGCCGAGGCTGAGGCTGTCTCTGTGCCCGCAGGACAAGCTGGACGGCTTTGTGCCCGCACACTTCATCGGCTGGTATCTGAAGGTATGGCGGCCTCCGCCCTCCGCGCCCCGGCACCCGGAGCTCCCGTCCTCCAGCGGGGCCAGAGCGGAGCCCTGACCCCCTGCCCACCTCCGCTCCATCCCAGCACGGGCGGCCGCAGGTCCGACCCCGCTGCACTCTGGGCTCCGGTCCCATTCTGCGGAAGGACCCGCGTTGCCCTGGACCAGGGGAGCGCGGAGCCTGCCTGGGTCCCCTGCGGGGCCCTGCGCGGTCCTGGCCAGCCAGCAGGGGCTGCTTCCCTTTAGAGCTCTGGACGCACCACCGGAGCTGAACATCTTAGCAGATGTCCCACCTGCCGTGCTGACCGGGGACCCGGGGGACCCCGGGGGCAGTGGGCACCCCTTGTGGGCGGCCTGCGGGGGCTGCTGTGCGGAGCCTGACCCGGTGCTTCCTGGCCCGCAGACGCTCATGATCCGCGACTGGTGGATGTGTATGATCATCAGCGTGATGTTTGAGTTCCTGGAGTACAGCCTGGAGCACCAGCTGCCCAACTTCAGCGAGTGCTGGTGGGACCACGTAGGTACCTGCGGGCCGTGGGACAGCCCTGGGCAGCCGGCCTCCGCGGGCCTGGTCTCCGGCCTCCGCGGGCCTGGCCTCCGCGGGCCTGGCCTCCGGCCTCTGCGGGCCTGGCCTCCGCCGCCTGGCGTCACCTCTCTCTGGCCCCTGCCCTAGTGGATCATGGACGTTCTCATCTGCAATGGTCTGGGCATCTACTGCGGCATGAAGACCCTTGAGTGGCTGTCTCTGAAGACATACAAGTGGCAAGGCCTCTGGAACATTCCAACCTACAAGTATGTCTCAGGAGGAAGGGGCCGTGTTGGGTGGCTTCCAGTACCCGTCCCCTCCATGCCACACGAAAGGCCTGAGGATGGGCGGCTGTCCGCCCTCTCAGCCCAGGACCCTCCGCTCTGCCTCCCCAACGCCACACCCGCCCTCTGGCTGGCCCCCCCTGCTGCATAGCGGGGGGTCCCTCATGTTTCTTACTTTACTACGAGATTTAAATAAAGAAAAAACAAGGTGGGTTGGGTGCATGGCTCAGTGGCAGGGTCTTCCCTGATAAGCACAGGCCCTGGATTCCATCCCCAGAGCCACAAAGACAAGCAGTGCCAGGAAGTGTGAGTCTGGTCCTCAGGAGGCTGAGGCAAGAAGGCCACTTGAGCCTGGAAAACACAGATCCTGTCTCAAACCTCAGACAAAGGAGGGAAGGAACAGGAGCCCAAGAAGAGAGTGCGAGGGCGAGGCTTGCGTCCCCTGCGGCCTCAGTAGCGCTGGCCGGTGGGGCCTCCGTCCCCTGCGGCCTCGGTACCGCTGGCCGGGGGAGCCTGTGTCCCCTGTGGCCTCAGTAGCGCTGGCAGAGGGGGGGCCTCCGTCCTCTGCGGCCTCAGTAGAGCCGGGGGGGGGGGCCTGTGGCCTCAGTAGCACTGGCCTCCTCCCGGTCTGGCACCACTGCTCAGGCCCCTGGCTCTCTGGCTTCCAGGGGCAAGATGAAGAGGATTGCCTTCCAGTTCACACCCTACAGCTGGGTCCGCTTCGAGTGGAAGCCCGCCTCCAGTCTGCACCGCTGGCTGGCGGTGTGCGGCATCATCCTGGTGGTAAGGCCGACCGCCTCACGATTGCGTGCAACCTGGGGCCCTGCGCCAGGCTGACCCTCTCCCATCCCCTAGTTCTTGCTGGCGGAGCTGAACACGTTCTACTTGAAGTTCGTGCTGTGGATGCCGCCCGAGCACTACCTGGTCCTGCTGAGGCTGGTCTTCTTCGTGAATGTGGGCGGGGTGGCCATGCGCGAGATCTACGACTTCATGGACGACCTGTAAGGGCCGGGCCGCCCCAGGCCTCGGGTGGGGGGCCCGGGGCAGAGGGGGCCGGGAGTCAGGCAGCTGCCGCCTCTCCACAGGAAGCCCCACAGAAAGCTGGGCCAGCAGGCCTGGCTCGTGGCTGCCATCACCGTCACCGAGCTGCTCATCGTCGTGAAGTACGACCCGCACACGCTCACCCTGTCCCTGCCCTTCTACATCTCCCAGTGCTGGACGCTCGGCTCCGTCCTGGTGCTTACCTGGACGGTCTGGCGGTTTTTTCTGAGGTGAGTAGAGGGTGGGACTCCCCTGCTGTCTGTGGTCCAGCCAGCTTAAACAGCCGTGGGTGTCGCCCCATCTACCTGCTGTCCCCCTCCTGCTTCGGCAAGGGGCGGGCAAGGGTCCTGGCAGCCCCCTCTCCAGCCTTGTTCCCCCAGAGGACCGTGTGGGACAGTGCCTTGGCCCTTTGCCTGGAAGACCTAGGCTCCTTGGGCTTCGTGGCCTGTCCTGGCCCGCACCTTAGCTCCCTTCGTACCCAGCCACTCCTCAGACCACACCCATGGTGTTCCTGTGGAACAGAGGTACCAGGTGTCTGTGGGGTCTGTGCTGGGACTCATGGCGGGGCCGGTGGCAACATGGCCTGTGCCCCCTCAGGGACATCACCTTGAGGTACAAGGAGACCCGGCGGCAGAAACAACAAAGTGACCAGGACAGAGCTGTCGGCAACAGAGACGTGCGCCCAGAGCCAGACGACGACCTTGCAGAGCCCAGGGCGGCCGAGGAGGAAGCCACCAAGGAGGGGGCCTCGGCCTTCTGAGCCGAGGGGAGGGTTCCAGCCTCGCCCCGTGGGTGGGCCCAAGAAGAGGGGAAGGAGGCCCAATCCCTCTGTTTCCAGGTGTGCAAGGGAGTGCGTGTGCACATGTGTGTATCTGAGTGCGCGGCTGCCGAGCCGTCTGGGGGCCGAGTTGGCCAGCGTGGCAGGGACTCACTGTGGAGCACGGACCCAGCCTTGGCCCAGCACGGGGGGAGGGAGGCATCACTCCCCATGGAGTGGGCGGAGGCCCAGAAAGACCGCGGCTCCCTCCCTCAGGGCTGCACAAGTGAGGGACAGTCGCTCATCACCAAGATGGCTGAAAAGCCAGACTGAGTAGCAGCACGGAGCCCTTTCCTCTTTCCTCCGGAGCCTTCACTTAGCCTGGAGGGTGTGTGGTGGGGTTGGAGATCACCAGACTGGCCCCTTGGCACCATCGAGTCAAGAGACACCAGGCCGCTGGGCCTGTGTCCTGGCTGCTCCTCATCTCTCTGACTCCTGAGTCCAAGGCTGTTGCCTTGAGCAGGCAGAACAAAATAAAGTGCTGTGAAGGTGCTCAGCCTCCAGCCTTCTTCCCTGTCCCCATTTTGCTGCTCCACCTTTCCAGAAGCCTCTCATGAGCAGCAGCAGTGGCCTAAGATGCTCAGAGCCGAGGGAGGGTGATGTCCCGGAGTGCAGTGCCCACAGACCTGTCCCTGATGGCAGGTCACCCACACCACGGCCGGAAGGGCAGCTGACCTCTCAGACTGGTGTTTTTAGAACTTTAAGTTCAATCCTAGCACTTAGGAGCTGAGGTACTTGGTGGGTTTAAAGCCATACCTTTTCAAAAACAACAGAAAAGACAGGCATGCACGGTGCCACACACCTGTCGAGCCAGCTGCACCAGAGCAGGCTCACGCTGGCAATCCTAGCTACGCCGGAGGCCCACCTGTGAAGCCAGCCTAGACAGGAAAGACTGAGACTCCAGTTGACCAGCAGTATGTCAGCATCATGGCTCAAGTGGTACAAGAAATGCATTATATAGAAAGATACCACTGTGGTTAGTTGTAAGTTCAGCCCACCTGCAAGTAGTTCTCCAGAAAGTGAGGATTGGGGAAATTTTTATCTTACACAAAAGATGGTCTCTTCCTTTATTGAAGCAACCTTTTTGTGTGCATGTCAGTACTGGGGCTTGAACTCCGGGCCAGAGCACTCTCCTTTAGCTTCTTCAGGCTGGTGCTCTACCACTTGAGTCATGGCCCCACTTGCACTTTTTAGAATTTCCCACCCTCTCAGGAGCCTTGCTTCTGTGTGGTCCAGGGTAGGAAGGCCTTCCACAAGCCACTCCTGCAGACTGGCCTGACAGGAGCGGAGCTGGTGGCAGCAGCGACCCCTGGCTGTGTCCCGTGCACACCAGACAAACGGCGTGGGTTTGAACGTTCTCCTCAACACAGGAGAACTGCCATGTGTGGCTCAGGTGTGGACGGCGCTCAGGTCCTAGCATCATCTGTCCCCGCACACGGTCGTCACTGCTTTGCAGCAAAAACATTCACAAACCTTTCTTCTAGCTTTTTTCACCCTGCCATTCACTAGTACGCTGGACTTGACTGCTCCTGTCCAGATGGTTTAGGTGCTGACCAACCTCTTCCTGGCAGGGCAGGGCCCAGTCTCGGGCAGAGGCCCCAGGCAGGAAGCGAACAGGGAAAGCGAATGCCTCGTCGTCAGCTATAGTGCTGGCGGGCACAGGCATCGCAGGAACCACCATGAAGGAAGAACAGAGACTTCCTCCTAACAAAGCTGTTTAATCATTACAAAGTGTCTCAATTTTTCTTGCAGAAATGATTACATTGTTTCTCTTTGGGCAGAAGCCAAACTCTAAGCTGCAGCCCACAGACTGCCCCAGGGCAGACTAGGCTGTGTCTCCAAGTATAGGTCCAGAGGCCAGGTCGGTGTCCATCAAGAGATAACCCTCAGAGACGGCCTGGCTTCCTCCAGGGTCTGAAGCTGGTCCTCCATCGCCTGGGTCCAGTAGATGTCATAGAGGCTGGACGCAGACAGAAGGAGTGGGCTGGGTGTCACACACGCATATGCACGCACGCGCGCGCACACACACACACACACACACATCCCTCAGCCTGAGCCCCGCCCGCCCGTCCACTTACACTAGCTTCTCCAGGGCCAGGGCGCAGCCTGGCTGCCTGAGGCTGTCTACCAGCCGCTGAACGCCAGGGTCCCCCATGCAGTTGTTGCTGAGCTCCAGCACCCGCAGGCTGTGGTTGGCCAGCAGGGCTGACGCCAGGCTGCTACAACCGTTATTGGTCACGTCGCAGTCCCCTAGCCTGGAAGGGAGCGGGACGGAGGTCAGGACAAGGTCATGCCCGCACTGCCACTAGAGCTGCTGGGCCTGGGCGGCCCCACGCGGTGAGACAGCGAAGGTCCACACACGGGCCCAGCCCTCGAGCGGCCCTGGCCCCACGTCCAGCCGTGGCAGGTCAATTGCACGGTCCTTCCATGGCCCCAGGTACTTTCCCCAGCAGAGGAGGTGCGTGTACAGCTTGCCTTGGTTGGACTCAGGACTCAGGTGGCCAGCTTTGGACAAGAGGCAGGGCGCCGGCCCCTCTGCAGGGTACAGAGAGGCACTGGGAGGAAGGTGCAGGCCATGAAACCCTGAGCTCATCACCAGCACTGCCCCAAAAAACAGCTCAGCTGGGTCCCAAGAGGAGAGTATGGGAGGTTAGAGAAGGCAACAGAGTGAACAGAGGTTTGCAGGTTACAGAAAAAGGTGGATGTCAGCGGAAGGAAGGAAGGCACGCGGGGCGAGCTGGATGCCCGCTCCCGGGTGGGCACTGCCAAGGGCTGCTCAGGCTCTCCAGGGTGGATGACCAAGCTCCAGGCCCTGTCTTTCAGGGCTAATGCAGGCTCCCACATGGTCCCGCTACAACAAGTGTCCCCTGAGAAGGAGACTGCAAGGTGGGTGGCTGGCTGGCCGTGCTGCCGGGCCCAGCCTTCTGTTGGTGCCCAGGGCAGGATGAACGGCAGCCAAGAAGTATCAGTGGCTCACACCTGTAATTCTAGCCACTCAGGAGTCTGAACTCTGAGGGTGGTAGTTTGAAGCCAGCTAGGCAGACAAATCCAGGAGATACATCTCCAATTAGTGGCTCCCACCTATAATCCTAGGTACCTGAGAGGCCTACACCTAGCTCCTCGCCAACAGCTAGGCATAGTGCCGCGTGCCTGTCTCATCCATGCTGTGGAGGCTGAGATTGGGAAGATGACGGTTCAAGTCCTGCCCGAGTAAAATATCACGACACTCCATCTCAGGGGAAAAGGCTGGACATGGTAGTGTGTACCTGCCATCCCAGCTACAATAGGAAGCCTAAAATAGGTGGGTCTCTGTCCAGGTGCAGGCCCAAGCAAAAATCAAGACCGTACCTCAAACTAACCAGTTCCAAAGGCTGGAGGTGTGGCTCAGCAGAAAACGCTTGCGTAATAAATATGAAGAAGAGTTCTGTACTGAAGAAAAGTTCCAAGGATAGAAAGCAGATCTATGAAATTAGAGATAGCAGACCCCTCCCTGGAAGCAATGGGAAAATGGAGGGGGGCCTGGCAGGACTTGCAGGAGGGGGGGAGGGGGGAGGGGGGAGGGGGATGGCCCTCTGGGTGGCTTTTACGTTTTGTTGTTTCTGTGTGTGCCAGTCCTGAGGTCTGGGCGCTGTCCCTGAGTTTCTTTTGCTCAAGGCTAGAGCTCTGCCACTTGAGCTACAGCACCACTTCTGGCTTTTTTAGTGGTTTATTAAGTCTCAGACTTCCCTTCCCAAGCTGGCTTCCAACCACAATCCTCAAATCTCAGCCTCCTGAATAGCTAGGATCACAGGCGTGAGCCACCAACATATGGCTCCCTTTGGGTTTTGTGAGCCAAGGCCTCAGATCAAAGCTGGAGTGACAAGTGGGCAGCAGGCCCTGCGTCCCTCCCAGCACGGCTCACACTCACCAGAGCGCACACAGCATGCAGCCGGGCTGGCCCAGACCTGCATCCCTCCCAGCACAGCTCACACCAGAGCGCACGCAGCACGCAGCCGGGCTGGCCCAGACCTGCGTCCCTCCCAGCACGGCTCACACTCACCAGAGCGCACACAGCATGCAGCCAGGCTGGCCCAGACCTGCGTCCCTCCCAGCACAGCTCACACCAGAGCGCACGCAGCACGCAGCCGGGCTGGCCCGGACCTGTATCCCTCCCAGCACAGCTCACACTCACCAGAGCGCACGCAGCACGCAGCCGGGCTGGCCCGGACCTGTATCCCTCCCAGCACGGCTCACACTCACCAGAGCGCATGCAGCATGCAGCTGGACTGGCCCAGACCTGTGTCCCTCCCAGCACGGGCTCACACTCACCAGAGCTCACGCAGCACGCAGCACACAGCTGGGCTGGCCCAGACCTGCGTCCCTACCAGCACGGGCTCACACTCACCAGAGCTCACGCAGCACGCAGCCAGGCTGGCACAGGCCCTGGCAGAGCTCCTGCACACCTGAGTCCCCCAGCTTATTGCTGCTTAACTGCAGCTCCAGGAGAGACCTGTTCTGGGCCAACACTGACCGGAAATGGGGACAGCAGGCATCTGTGAGGTTGCAACTCTTCACCCTGTGGGGACAGATGCACACCAGCTAGACCAAGGGAGGCCCAACGCTACCACCGGCCCTTGCCCTAGACTCCGATGGGGACCAGGCAGAAACCTCTCCCAGGTGAACGCCGGTCCTCTGGGCTGCTCACTCTGCACACCTGTTCCCCTTTCCCGCGCGGTCCCCCGCCCCTCCTCTCCAGCTGCCCCCCCTGCCCAGCCCTCACCACAGTGACTCCAGCGGGGAGCCGGGCTCCAGCAGGCTCTCGCACAGCAGCCGGGCACCCTCATCGCCCAGGTCGTTGCTGGCCACGCTGAGCTCCTTCAGGCTGGGCTGGGCTCTGAGGAGGCCACACAGCTCCCGGCAGCCCTCGGCCGTGATGTCACACTCCCAGAGCCTGTGGGCAGGGCACTTCTTGAACATGTCACCCCTCCCCCCCCCCCCCCGTGGCCCCAGGCCCCCCCCCCCGCCTCCTCGCACCTGGGGAAGGCTGCAGCCAACTCACCACAGGACCTGCAGCTGGGAGCCGTGGAGCCGCAGCCCGGGGCACAGCAGCGCCAGGCCCGCGTCGCCCAGCTTGTTACTGCCCAGGTCCAGCTCCCGCAGGGGCGCCTTAGAGACCACGTCACACAGATCCCTGCAGTTGGCTGTGGTGACACCACAGTTCTCCATCCTGGAGAAGCAAGGTGGGCCTGAGAGGAGCCCCGGGGCCACCCCCCCCAGGGCCCCCACGGCCTGGGGCTGGCTTACTTGAGCGTCTCCAGCTGGCAAGCAGACTCTTTCAAGCCCTGGCATAGCGTCTGGACTCCAGCCTCATGGAGGTCATTGTTGCTCACCACCAGCTCCTTGAAGTCTGGCTTGGCCCTGAGCACCGCGGCCAGTGATTCACAGCTGGCAGCTGTGAGCCCACAGTACTCCAGCCTGCAGGGGACAGGACGGGATGGGATGGGACAGGATGGGACAGGATGGGACAGGACAGGACGGGACAGGACGGGACAGGATGGGACGGGATGGGACAGGATGGGACAGGATGGGACGAGATGGGACAGGATGGGACGGGAAGGGACAGGAAGGGACGGGACGGGACAGGACGGGACAGGAAGGAACAGGATGGGACGGGACGGGACAGGATGGGACAGGATGGGACGGGAAGGGACGGGAAGGGACAGGATGGGACAGGATGGGACAGGATGGGACGGGAAGGGACAGGAAGGGACGGGACGGGACGGGATGGGACGGGATGGGACGGGATGGGACAGGACGGGACAGGACGGGACAGGAAGGGACAGGATGGGACGGGAAGGGACAGGATGGGACGGGAAGGGACGGGACAGGACGGGACGGGACGGGACGGGACGGGACAGGACAGGGTGAGATGGGTCGGGTCGGGAGGGATGGGTCGGGAGGAGACGGGATGGGGTCTCAGCCTAGCCCCACAGGTGCATGGAGCGATGAAGGGTGGCCATGGGCTACTGCACCTTGCTGTGGTCACGGGCCACCCACCCGCACCTCACTGTGGTCACTCCCAGTGCCACCCACCCGCACCTCGCTGTGGTCACGGGCCCCACACACGCACCTCGCTGTGGTCACTCCCAGTGCCACCCATCCGCACCTCGCTGTGGTCACGCCCCCCCCCCCCCGCACCTTGCTGTGGTCACTCCCAGTGCCACCCACCCGCACCTCGCTGTGGTCACTCCCAGTGCCACCCACCCGCACCTCGCTGTGGTCACGGGCCACCCTCCCGCACCTCGCTGTGGTCACTCCCAGTGCCACCCACACACCTCGCTGTGGTCACTCCCAGTGCCACCCTCCCGCACCTCGCTGTGGTCACTCCCAGTGCCACCCTCCCGCACCTCGCTGTGGTCACTCCCAGTGCCACCCACACACCTCGCTGTGGTCACTCCCAGTGTCTCCCACACTGGACCACTGGCCACATCTGTGCCACGGTCAGGTCGGGTCGGCCGTCAGCCCCTGGCAAGGAGGAGCCCCAGCACCCCGGGGGGAGCACCGTGGCCCGGAGGTCCCCCCGGCCCCTGCAGCTGCATCCTGATGAAGGCCTGGGCGTTCCTGGCTGGGGAAGGGTGGGCCCCAGGGAGCTGAGGCCACACTCACTGCAGTCTCTCGAGGTGGCACTGAGCATCCAGGAGCCCCTGGCAGAGCAGCTGCAGGCCCGCGTCTCCAAAGGGGTTGTCGCTGAGACAGAGCTCACGCAGGGTGGACAGGGCACACAGCACACCGGGCAGGGCCGCACAGCCAGCTGCCGTCAGGCCGCAGTTCTGCAGGCTGGAACACACTCTCTCAGCAGCTCCCCAGCAGCCCTAGGGCAGGCCCTGCTTCTCCCCAGGCTAGCTCCCCATCTCCAGCTGAGAGCAGCTGCAGGAGGGCAGCAGGGTGGCGGGAGGTAAGCCTTGGAGCCAGAAGGCGCCCTGTCCCTGTGGTGGCAGCCACTGCCTGTCACCTGCAGCTGGAGCTGGGGCCCCCAGGGCTCTCCACACCCTACCCCTGCCCACCAAGGCTCTGCCGGAGCGCCGTGCTGGCACCGGGCCTCACCTCAGCTTCTGAATCTGGCAGGTGGGGCTCTGCAGGCCCTGCAGCACCAGCTGCACGCCCGCATTGCCCAGCTCATTGTTGCGCACGTTCAGCTCCGTCAGGGCAGGGTTGGCCTGAAGCGCAGAGCGGAGGTCCCTGCACCGCACCTCAGAGAGGCCGCAATCATCCAGCCTGTGAACAGAGCCCTCAGTCTCCACAGGTGCCCTGGCCACAGCCCATCCATCACCCCATGCAGCAGCAGGCCAGGAACTCAAAAGGCAGTCCAGCCAGGAACCCAAGCGCACGCCTACAAGTCCAGCTGCTCCGGTGACTGAGATCAAGGATCACAGTTCAAAGCCAGTGCTGGCAGCACAGTCCAGGAGACTATCTCCAATTAATCACCAAAAGCCAGAAGTGGCTGAGCACCAGTGGCTTGTGCCTATAATCCTAGCTACTCAGGAGGCCAAGATCTGAGGATCGCAGTTCAAAGCCAGCCCAGGCAGAAAACTCCATGAGACTCTTATCTCCAATAAACTACTCAGAAAAAGCTGGAAGTAGCACTGTGGCTCAAGTGGTAGAGTACTAGTCTTGAGTACAAGAAGCTCAGTGCCCAGGTCCTGAGCTCAAGCCCCAGGACTGGCCAAAAAAAAAAAGAAGGCAGAAGTGAAGCTGTGGCTCAAGTATACAGTGCACGCGCATGCACGCGCACGCACAGACACGCACACACACACACACATAAATTTTAAGAGCCATGTGTGGTGGTTTAAGCCTGAAGTCCTAGGAGGCAGAAGCATAAGTATCTTGAGTTGGAGCCAACTGTACTATACACAGCAAGTTCCAGGTCAGCATGGTCTACGTTAAATTAATAATAGTAGTGAACCCTGCCCCAGAAGTGCTGGGAGCTGGCAGGTGTGCAAGGCCTGGGCTTCCATCCCCACAGCAGGGAGGAAACCCCACAGAAGTGCAAGGGTGGAGGCGTGGCTGACATGTCAGGAGCCTCCGTGTGGCTGACATGTCAGGAGCCTCCGTGTGGCTGACATGTCAGGAGCCTCCGTGTGGCTGACATGTCAGGAGCGCTCCGTGTATCTGACATGTCAGGAGCCTCCGTGTGTCTGACATGTCAGGAGCCTCCGTGTGTCTGACATGTCAGGAGCCTCCGTGTGGCTGACATGTTAGGAGCACTCCGTGTGGCTGACATGTCAGGAGCCTCCGTGTGTCTGACGTTAGGAGCGCTCCGTGTGTCTGACATGTCAGGAGCACTCCGTGCAGGGATGGAGGCACAGCTGACATGTCAGGAGCCTCCGTGTGGCTGACATGTTAGGAGCCTCCGTGTGTTTGACATGTTAGGAGCCTCCGTGTGGCTGACATGTTAGGAGCCTCCGTGTGTCTGACATGTCAGGAGCCTCCGTGTGGCTGACATGTCAGGAGTGCTCCGTGTGGCTGACATGTCAGGAGCGCTCCGTGTGGCTGACATGTCAGGAGCGCTCCGTGTGGCTGACATGTCAGGAGCACTCCGTGTGTCTGACATGTCAGGAGCGCTCTGTGTGTCTGACATGTTAGGAGCGCTCCGTGCAGGGATGGAGGCGCAGCTGACATGTTAGGAGCGCTCCTGACATGTCAGACACACGGAGCGCTCCTGACATGTCAGCTGCGCCTCCATCCCTGCACGGAGTGCTCCTAACATGTCAGCCACACGGAGGCTCCTGACATGTCAGCCACACGGAGGCTCCTGACATGTCAGCCACACGGAGCGCTCCTGACATGTGTCTGACATGTTAGGAGCTCCATGTGGCTGACATGTTAGGAGCGCTCCGTGCAGGGATGGAGGCATGGCTGACATGTCAGAAGCGCTCCGTGTGTCTGACATTAGGAGCACTCCGTGTGGCTGACATGTTAGGAGCACTCCATGTGTCTGACATTAGGAGTGCTCCGTGTGGCTGACGTTAGGAGTGCTCCATGTGGCTGACATGTTAGGAGCGCTCCGTGCAGGGATGGAGGCGCAGCTGACATGTCAGGAGCGCTCCGTGTGTCTGACATGTCAGGAGCGCGCCATGTGTCTGACATGTTAGGAGCTCCATGTGGCTGACATGTTAGGAGCGCTCCGTGCAGGGATGGAGGCGCAGCTGACATGTTAGGAGCGCTCCGTGTGGCTGACATGTCAGGAGTACTCCATGTGTCTGACATGTCAGGAGCACGCCGTGTGTCTGACGTTAGGAGCACTCCGTGTGGCTGACATGTTAGGAGCGTGCCGTGCAGGGATGGAGGTGTGGCTGACATGTTAGGAGTGCTCTGTGCAGGGATGGAGGTGCAGCTGACATGTTAGGAGCGCTCCGTGTGTCTGACATGTCAGGAGCGCTCCGTGTGTCTGACATGTCAGGAGCGCTCCGTGTGTCTGACATGTCAGGAGCGCTCCGTGTGGCTGACATGTTAGGAGCGCTCCGTGTGGCTGACATGTCAGGAGCGCTCCATGTGGCTGACATGTCAGGAGCGCTCCGTGTGGCTGACATGTCAGGAGCGCGCCGTGTGCCTGACGTTAGGAGCACTCCGTGTGGCTGACATGTTTGGAGCGCGCCGTGCAGGGATGGAAGTGTGGCTGACATGTTAGGAGCGCTCCGTGCCTGAAGGGTACAGAGCACAAGACCCTGCAGCATGTGCAGGAGGCAGTGGCCCCAGGAAGTGCTCTGAGAACGAGGAGACAAGTCAGAGCGAGGCGAAAGAGTCTGAGGTGCCCCCACAGCCAGATACACACCTGAGCACTGGACAGACAGTAATTGTAATTCAGTGACATAAAGTGCTTTCGTGTCCATCCCAACTAATGAAAACCTGAATACATGCAAGTAGGACAGGCAGTTCCTATCAAGAAAAATGACAACTGATCGATGGAGAGGAAATAAAGAAATGACCAAAGGCACTGTCTATGACCAGTAAGAGCCAACAAAGGCTGAAGCTAGCAGCAAAGATCTGAGTGGAAACAGGTTTGGGCAGAGTTTCAGATGACCCCACCGGCTGCTAAGGGACTCAGAGCCCTTGGAGAAGCCCAGCAGGACAGGGACCCTGACCCCTGTGGGGCCAATACACATCGGGACAGGACACGGTAGCCAGAAAGACCCACAGCATCTGTCTGCTTGCCAAAAATGTGCAACCATGAGAAAGCCTCAGAGAAGCCCAGATGCCCCATGCAGGCCTTCCACTCTGACTCAGCTGCCTCCGGGACAAGTGCACCGCAGGCAGCTCCCCACGGGCAGGGACGGGTAAAGGACAGAGCTAGGTGACCGTAGGTGACCGGACAGGAAAAGACAACTCCGATGTCTGTGGCTGAGATGGCCTGGGTGTCTCCCTGAGATACCAGGAGGGCGTTGGCAGACACCCAGGTGACCTCACACCTGCAACAAATCTGGAGCTATCCCACACAGCAGCTAGAGTGGGAGGCGGGACCAGGGAAACAAACACCTGTTTTATGTCTGTGGGTTTCTTAGAGCCTGGAGAACAACTGACCCTAACCCCCATTCGCTGTGGAGGAGGGCCAGGCAGGCCACTGTGCTAGCCATCCACCGGCCTTCCTGCCCGCGGTCTCCAGAGGAGGAGGGAGTACCCCATGTCCACACCGGGCAGGCAGTCTACTGTTGCACTGCATCCCCAGCAGCTAGGTACTTACTACCGTGCTGTTCGGGGCTGGGAAGGTGGCTCAGTGGTACAGCGCTTGCCTTGCGTGCCTGAGGCCCTGGGTTCAATTCCTCAGCACCACATAAGAAAAAAGAAAAAAGCCAGAAGTGGCGCTGTGGCTCAAGTGGTAGAGTGCTAGACTTGAGCGGAACAGCTGAGGGACAGTGCCCAGGCCCAGAGTTCAGGCCCCACGACCGGACCCAAAAGAAAACAAAAACAAAACTACCGTGCTATTCTTGGTACCTGGAATTTGCAGGAAGGGCCTGGCAAGGTAGGCACTCTGCCACCTGAGCCCTGCATATATATTTAAACGGATGCCGGGCTCGAACTCACAGAGCGTCACACTCAGCTGGCTTGCTCGGCTGGTGTTCTACCACAGGCCATGAGCCTCTCGGCCAGCCTGGCTTCTGTTGGTTAATTGGAAATGGAGTCTCACAGACTTCTCTACCTGAGCTGGCTTTCAATTACGATCTTCCAGGTCTCAGCCTCCCAAGTAGCTAGGATTACAAGTATGAGCTACCAATACCCAGATTAGTTTTTTTTGTTTTGTTTTCTTGGTGGTTCTGGGGTTTGAACTTAAGGCTTTCTAAATGCTAGGTAAGCACTCTACCTCTTGAGCTGTAACTCCAGAACTTTCTGCTTTGGTTATTTTTAGGATAGGGTCTTGCTTTGTCTCAATCAGATTTATGCTTCCTGCTCTGTGGGTAGGACAAGTGCAGCTACTTGTTGACATGGGACCTCAAGAACTTTTGGGCTGGGCTGGGAAGGTGGCTCAGGGGTGGAGCACTTGCCTCCCATGCATGAGGCCCTGGGCTCAATTCTTCAGCGCCACATAAGCAGAAAAAGCCGGAAGTGGCGCTGTGGCTCAAGTGGTAGAGCACCAGCCTTGAGCTGAAGAGCTGAGGGACAGCGCCCAGGCCCACAGTTCAGGCCCTATGACCAGCCAAAAAAAAGAACTTTTGTGCTGAGGCTTTGAGATTACAGGTGTGAGCCACTGGTGGATGGCTAATCTTACACCTAGCATTTCCTACCGTCAGAAAAGGACGTGAAGCGGCTTTGTGTCCTTGCACGATGTGTTCCGGAGCTGCGCAGGAGCACTCGGCCTCTGACCTCCACCGCGGGAGGAGTCAGGCCTCCCCACCGTCCCGTGGCCCGTCAGGCTGACCAGGCCTCCCAGGCCCCCGGGAGCCTTACCTGACCCACTGGCACTGCTGGATGCGGGGCAGGAGCTCAGTCCACCGGGAGTCGCTCAGCTGCTCACACTGAATGTTGAGATCCATGGTGGGCATACAGCGCTGTCTGAGTAAGAGAAAAGAGAGCACTTGGCAAACTTGCAGGTCAGAAGTATGAATGGAAGAGTCCTAACAGGGCCCCCAGAGGCACACCTTTTCAGAAAGGCCCACCTCTCCTTGGGAGCGCTTCCACACACTTGGCCTCCAGGAGCAACTGTGGCTGGGAGGGACTGCCTGAGGTGGTCCCTGCAGGTGGCAGGCTATGATGCCTGCTCACCTCCCAGCCCCATGGCCTCTCCCACCAGAGCCTGGGGACAGAAGATCTGCCAGGAAGCCCCTGCCCTAGTCCGCCCCATCGGGGGGCACACCCCCACCATGGGGAATTCCTGCCTGCTTAACCCACATTTTGCTCTAAGAACAGGTGGGGGGCTGGCAAAGTGGCTCAGTGGTAGAGTGCTTGCCTCACGTGCATGAGGCCCTGGGTTCAATTCCTCAGCACCACATAAGCAGAAAAAAACAGAAGTGGTGCAGTGGCTCAAGTGGTAGAGTGCTAGCCTTGAGCTGAAGAGCTGAGGGACAGCAGCCAGGCCCAGAATTCAAGCCCTATGACCAGCCAAAAAAAAAAAAAAAGAACAGGCAGGGCAGCACATGACCCACATCCACAAAGCTAGACAGCATAGGAAGCAGGCCCTGGACCCACAAAGCTAGACGGCATGGGAAACAGGCCCTGGACCGGGCAGTCCTCAGTGCCCTGGCCCTCTGTTCAGAAGCAGCTCGGAAAGGCACACGGAGCCTTGTGCAAGGCCGAGTGGAGGCAGGGGCTGTAGGGGTGGGGCCTCCACGGGCAGGGCGCCAGCCTCCAGGACCCCCTCCAGACCAGACCAGGCCAGGGTGCATCCTCTGCCCAACCCTGGCCAGCCTGGCTCCAACCCCAGCCCAGAGAAGCCAGGCTGGAAAAAAGGAGGCCTCTCTGCAGCGAGGCTAAGGGGGGCCAGGTCATGAGTTCTGACACCTGAGAGGGACAGGCACAGAGCCTGACTAAACAAGGCTGGCACTGGCCCTCACGGCCCCAGGCGGGCAAGTGTGCTGTCCCTGAGCACAGGCCAAGCTGCCGGCTGGAGTGACGTGGCTACCTGGGAGAAGTGACCAAGTGTGCTGGCAGCCCTGGGGAAGAGCAGACCGGGTTCTGTTCCAAGTGCTGCTCTGTTGAGAGTTCTGCTCTGAGTGCTAAGTGCTGTTCTGCTCTGAGTGCTAAGTGCTGTTCTGTTCGGAGTTCTGCTCTGAGTGCTAAGTGCTGTTCTGTTCGGAGTTCTGCTCTGAGTGCTAAGTGCTGTTCTGCTCTGAGTGCTGTGCTGTTCTTAGTGCTACAGGCTGTTCTGTTGTGTTCCAAGTTTTGTTCTGCTCTGCTGTTCTGTTCTGAGTTCCGTTCTGTTCTGGGCTGTTCTGAGTTCAGCTCTGAGCGCTGTTCTGCTGTTCTGTTCTGCTCTGAGTGCTGTGCTGTTCTGAGTGCTGTGCTGTTCTGAGTGTTGTTGTGTTCTGAGTTCTGTTCTGTTCTGAGTTCTGCTCTGAGTGTTGTTCTGAGTTCTGTTCTGCTTTGAGTGCTGTTCTCTGTTCTGTTCTGAGTGTTGTTCTGCTCTGCTCGGAGTGAGAGGAAGCCCCGCAGGGCTCACTTCCACAGGGCACCACAGGTGGGTTCGGGCCTGGGCCGCCTCCTGGCGGTGTGCGGGGCCTGTCCTGCTTTCAGGGAGGCCGATCGACCCACGCCCGCCTGAAGCGCTTGAAAAGGGGGGAAAAACAGCACTGCTGGAATCCCGGATGCGTCACCGGCTGGATCCCGGGTGCGTCACTGGCTGGAGCGCTGGGGGACAACCGGCGCGGCCCCGCCCCTCCTACCCCCCCACGCACACATAACGCACCGCCCCGGTCCCCCCTCCCCAGCACACACGCCGTACCATCCCGGGTGCGTCACCGGGCGGGGCTGGCGCTGCCTCCCCGGGGAAGGCGGCTGTTAGACCGCGCGGCCTCGAGACAGACGGGCGGGCGCCCCGCAGGCCGCGAGGCCCAGCTCCGGGCTGGCCGCCGGCCGGGGAGGGCGCCCCGGGGACGTGCGGCCCAGCAGCGACCAGCCCGCGCCGCCCCCCGCCCCCCGGCCCCCGCCCCCCGCGCTGCCCCAGCGCACCTGCGGGTCTCCGCGCTCCGCCACGAGTCCAGAAGGCCCAGGAGGAAGCGGCGCGCGGCCAGCACGTCCCGGAGCTCCGAGCCCGCAGCCGCTCCTTCCGCCCTGGGCGGGGCGGCCCCGCCCCCGGACCGCCCTCCCCGCCCCCGCCGCCCCGGACCGCCCCCACGGACCGCCCCGCCCCGCCCACGGACCGCCCGCCCCGCCCACGGACCGCCCGCCCCGCCCCCGCCGCCCCGGACCGCCCCCACGGACCGCCCGCCCCTTCCCCGCCGCCCCGGACCGCCCGCCCCGCCCACGGACCGCCCGCCCACGGACCGCCCCCACGGACCGCCCGCCCCGCCCACGGACCGCCCGCCCCGCCCCCGCCGCCCTGGACCGCCCCCACGGACCGCCCGCCCCTTCCCCGCCGCCCCGAACCGCCCGCCCCGCCCCCACGGACCGCCCGCCCCGCCCCCGCCGCCCCGGACCGCCCGCCCCGCCCCCACGGACCGCCCGCCCCGCCCCCGCCGCCCCGGACCGCCCCCACGGACCGCCCCGCCCACGGACCGCCCGCCCCGCCCACGGACCGCCCGCCCCGCCCCCGCCGCCCCGCCCACGGACCGCCCGCCCCGCCCCCGCCGCCCCGGACCGCCCCGCCCCGCCCCGCCCCGGCCGCCTATCCGAGCTCTTTCCAGGCCGCACCCGGACGCCTCCCCGCCCCCGACGGTGCAGCCGGGATGACGGGCGCGGGGCTGGCGAGCGCTCTGCCACTTCTGGCTTTTTCTGCATAAGGAGTGCTGAGGGTTCGAACCCAGGGCCACGTGCGTGAAGGCGAGCGCCCCGCCGCTGAGCTGCCCTAGCCCCAGCTCCGCCCCCCAGGCCCAGCTCCGCCCCCAGGTCCGGCCCCGCCCCCAGGCACAGCTCCACCCCCAGGCCCAGCCCGCCCACCCCGCCCAGGTCCCAGCCTCCCAGCCCCAGCCCCCGCCCCAGCCCCAGGCCCAGCCCGCCCAGGTCCCAGCCCCCAGCCCCAGCCCCCGCCCCAGCCCCAGGCCCAGCCCGCCCAGGTCCCAGCCCCGCCCCCCAGGCCCAGCCCCAGGCCCAGCCCGCCCAGGTCCCAGCCCCCAGCCCCAGGCCCAGCCCGCCCAGGTCCCAGCCCCCAGCCCCAGCCCCCCCCAGCCCCAGGCCCAGCCCGCCCAGGTCCCAGCCCCAGGCCCAGCCCCCAGCCCCCCCCAGCCCCAGGCCCAGCCCGCCCAGGTCCCAGCCCCGCCCCCCAGGCCCAGCCCCCCCCAGCCCCAGGCCCAGCCCGCCCAGGTCCCAGCCCCGCCCCCCAGGCCCAGCCCCCCCCCCAGCCCCAGGCCCCGCCCGCCCAGGTCCCAGCCCCGCCCCCAGGCCCAGTCCCGCCCCCAGGCCCCGCCCCCAGCCCCAGCCCCGCCCAGCCCCAGGCCCAGCCCCCCCCCAGCCCCAGGCCCAGCCCGCCCAGGTCCCAGCCCCGCCCCCCAGGCCCAGCCCCGCCCAGCCCCAGGCCCAGCCCGCCCAGGTCCCAGCCCCAGGCCCAGCCCGCCCAGGTCCCAGCCCCAGGCCCAGCCCCCCCTAGCCCCAGGCCCAGCCCGCCCAGGTCCCAGCCCCCAGCCCCAGCCCCCCCCCAGCCCCAGGCCCCCCCCAGCCCCAGGCCCAGCCCGCCCAGGTCCCAGCCCCCAGCCCCAGCCCCCCCCAGCCCCAGGCCCAGCCCGCCCAGGTCCCAGCCCCAGGCCCAGCCCCCCAGCCCCCCCAGCCCCAGGCCCAGCCCGCCCAGGTCCCAGCCCCAGGCCCAGCCCCCAGCCCCCCCCAGCCCCAGGCCCAGCCCGCCCAGGTCCCAGCCCCGCCCCGCCCCCCAGGCCCCAGCCCCGCCCCGCCCCCAGCTCCGGCTCCGGCCCCGCCCCCGCCCCAGGTCCGCGGCCGACCAAAGCCCAACAAAAACCGGGAGGAAGCGGAGTCCCACCGCAGCCTCCCGCCGCGGGCCCGGCAGGAGGCGGACTGAGCGGTGCGAAGCCCGGGCCGCGGGCAGGACAGCGAGGGCGCGCGTCACCCCGCTGGGCCCTTCCGCCCCGGCCCGGGCCATCACGGCCGGCCATGGCTTGAGGTATGACTGCCTCTGCACAAACCTCTCCCTGCTCCCCATCTCCACCGACCACCTAAAAGCCTTCAGGACAAGGTGACCAGGTGAGCGCCTGACCTGGCCCAGGACCCCGGAGCCCCTCCCCTCCGGTCTGTGGGGTCCCAGAGACTCCAGGAGCCTCCGCTTTGCTGACCCCTCACACCCTTGCTTGGACTTTGGGGATGCCCTCTCCTGGTTACTGGGACCCAGGGACGCCTGGAGCAGCGGGACAGGCCCCACAATCCTACCAAATTTTCCACATTGTCTCCACTGACCCGCGTTGCCTGATAGCTCTAATCTTGAGACTTAGGGTTAATTGTTGACAGTCAAAGAAAACTAACTGGTTTGCCCCACTGAAAGTGGCTCCCACTGGTCTGAATTGGGAACCTCTGATTTTACTCTTACTGATTTAAACAGTTATCCAACAGGAGGGGTCTGAGGTCCCCTACACCCAACCCCTCCTCCACCTTTACATGTGCAAAAACCACCTTCATTGATAGCCCACTACGGGGTGGGCCCTGAGGTTTGGGTCGGGGGTGAAGGAGACACCCTGCCCCACCTGCCTGGCCTGGCCTCCAACTGGCTAAGAGGGGACAAAGAGGGACTCCCACAGCGACAAGACCGGAGGTCCCTGGAGGAGATGACACAGAACCCACAGTCCTGTGGCTCTTTGAATACAGAGGTCAACCCCCCCCCCTTCATGGGCTGGGCCTGGGGCTTGTCACTCAAGGCAGCTGCCCCTCTGGGCACCTAAGACAGTGAGAAGATATCTGCCTGGAAGCACTGTGGGGGTAAAGCACAGCTGTGTGGGGCTGCTCAGCTGGGGTAAAGCGCAGCTGTGTGGGGGCTGCTCAGCTGGGGTAAAGCGCAGCTGTGTGGGGCTGCTCAGCTGGGGTAAAGCGCAGCTATGGGGGCTGCTCAGCTGGGGTAAAGCGCAGCTGTGTCAGCTGGGGTACAGCGCAGCTGTGTCAGCTGGGGTAAAGCGCAGCTGTGTGGGGCTGCTCAGCTGGGGTAAAGCGCAGCTATGGGGGCTGCTCAGCTGGGGTAAAGCGCAGCTATGTCAGCTGGGGTAAAGCGCAGCTATGGGGGCTGCTCAGCTGGGGTAAAGCGCAGCTATGGGGGCTGCTCAGCTGGGGTAAAGCGCAGCTGGGTGGGGCTGCCCAGCTGGGGTAAAGCGCAGCTGTGTGGGGCTGCCCAGCTGGGGTAAAGCGCAGCTATGTCAGCTGGGGTAAAGCGCAGCTGTGTCAGCTGGGGTAAAGCGCAGCTATGTCAGCTGGGGTAAAGCGCAGCTGTGTGGGGCTGCCCAGCTGGGGTAAAGCGCAGCTGTGTGGGGCTGCTCAGCTGGGTAAAGCGCAGCTGTGTGGGGCTGCTCAGCTGGGGTAAAGCGCAGCTATGGGGGCTGCTCAGCTGGGGTAAAGCGCAGCTATGGGGGCTGCTCAGCTGGGGTAAAGCGCAGCTATGTCAGCTGGGGTAAAGCGCAGCTGTGTGGGGCTGCTCAGCTGGGGTAAAGCGCAGCTATGTCAGCTGGGGTAAAGCGCAGCTATGGGGGCTGCCCAGCTGGGGTAAAGCGCAGCTATGGGGGCTGCTCAGCTGGGGCACAGCAGACGCAGCCCAGTCCACTCAGCCTTGCCAGCTGCTCTTGCCTCCACTGCTCTTCTGGTCCCCTCTAGTTCCCTCTTAAAGACTAGCCATCCTGGACCAGTGGTTCCCTAAACCATGTCTTTTCTCCATCCTCGCTCTTGTACTACATTCTTCTTCACAGGCTCAGTCCGATTCTGTCTGCTCCAATCAGGGGAGCCTAGGCAGAGACAAAGGCCACAGGGTGGGATTTCATGTGACCACCATTCTCCCTCCAAGCTTTACCAAAATTGTCTTAAAGGTTTTTCTGTTCTGGTTATTTTATTCTGGTGTTTCTAGTGTTGTTAGGTTTTTTTAAAAACCTAAGCATAGGGCTGGGAAGGTGGCTCAGTGGTAGAGCGCTTGCCTTATATGCATGAGGCCCTGGGTTCAATTCCTCAGCACCACATAAGCAAAAAGAAAAAGCCGGAAGTGGCGCTGTGGCTCAAGTGGTAGAGCGCTAGCCTTGAGCTGAAGAGCTGAGGGACAGTGCCCAGGCCCAGAGTTCAGGCCCCACGACTGGACCCCCCCCCCAAAAAAAAAAAAAAAAAACCTAAGCATAGCTTAAAACTTTGCGCACAAGGGCTGGGAACGTGGCTCATTGGTAGAATGCTTGCTGCTCATGCATGAGGCCCTGGGTTTGATTCTTTAGTACCACATAAGCAGAAAAAGCTGGAAATGGTGCTGTGGCTCAAGTGGTAGAGTGCTAGCCTTGAGCAAAAGCAGCTCAGGGACAGTGCCCAGGCCCTGAGTTCAAGCCCCAGGACTGCCAAAAAAAAAAAAAAAAAACTTTGTGCACAAGTGTATGTGTGATTGTGAACATGTTCAAAGTAATCCATTGTAACACATAAAAACTGTCATCATGGTGTAAAAATTATTTGTTTTTAACTAAGGTGAACCTTGTGTTAAAGATAATTACCAAGTGTGCTGCTTGTTAGAAGGAAAAATCTTTATCAATGGACGTAGTAAAAGGAATGAGACCCAGCTCCACTCCTAACCAGGTGTGATGGAGGAAACCAGTAAGGAAAAATGTAAAGAATGTCTTGAAAGACAGTCATGAGTAAAATTGGTATGTAATTAAGTTGGCTGTGAGTGGCGCTGTGGCTCAAGTGGTAGAGCGCTCACTGAAGAGCACAGAGACAGCGCCCAAGCCCAGAGTTCAAGCCCCACAACTGGCCGAAAGAAAGAAAGAAATTAATAATCCATTAAGTTGGCTGTGATCTACACTGAAAACTAACATCTCATTCTTTTTTTTTTTGTCGGTCATAGGGCTTGAACTCTGGGCCTGGGTGCTGTCCCTCAGCTCTTCAGCTCAAGGCGAGCGCTCTACCACTTGAGCCACAGCGCCACTTCTGGTTTTCCAGTGGTTTATTGGAGATAAGAGT